TATTCATGTTTTAGTTGTGACGTGATCGACGTAGTACAATATTAAAATAGAAGAACAATAGGGATTAAGAATGAAAAAGAGAAGAATGAAACATGAAGAAGAAGATGCAGACGAAGATGAAAGATTTAAAAGAAGACGAAGGGAAAAGAAGTAGGAAAGAAGAAAAGCGCGTCGTACACAGAGTGGCTAGAACTTTAACAGCCGCGAATGACATCGTGAAAATCCTCTCTTCAATAGAGACACTCTCCCTTGTCAGGTCTCCCGTGATAAATGATGCATCCTTCTTGTTCGCTTTTCCCGCACTCACACTTCTCTCTGCCTCTCTCAAGTATGGTGTTTCCTCCCCCCCCCCTCTCTCTCTCTCTCTCTCTCTTTCCCTCTCTCTCTCTCTTTCACTCCCTTCCCACCCACCTTTTCTGCCTCTATTTCACTCTGACAATGCAGTTGTAATTTGCTTTGCCTCGTCGTATTTTTACGGCTTTGTGCTGCCGAGACTTAGACAGGCATTTACTCAAGCCAATTCTGCAAAGAATGAATGTCCTTCATGCTCTCGGCAGCGTTTTTATGTCGTTTTAATTTACGCCAATCGAAATCATTCACTGAATCCATTGAATGATGAATTTTCATATTGCCCATAGGTTTAATACGTGAACAAGCCGATTACAGAAGGCAATGGGTGAACGGAATAACTTCCACATTTTATAAGCACTTACATACCGTTACATCGATTCACGACAATGCAAAACGCTTATTGTGCTGATTGTGTCGTCTTGTGAAAATATATTTTCTATCTATAAAAAATAAAAGCGTGAATGATAACGCACTTTTCCATGTGGAAGTGATGCAAGTCCAATGGGAAACGTTTATATCTTTATAGAATACAGAATCTATTCTTCTGAAGATTCCTTAAATAGGAGCAATGCTTCATACAGCGGTCAAGGGCATATTGTTTTCTAGCTTGCTACGCGGTCTGACTTCAAAGATATTCTGTTTGTTTCTTCATCTAACCCGCGGTCAAAACAATAAATCCTCATCACGATTGCAAATATATTGAAGGGGAACTAACCCCAAAGAATAAGTGTATATATTCTGCAAAACGAGATAAATTCCTGCCTTTTGATGTACAACTTTTGAACGTGTACAAGAGATATATTACTGAAGATTTCTTGGCATGATGTTATGCCTTTTAGCATGAAAGAGGCGCAGCCATTTTCTTGAAAATGTGACGTATCAGTTGGAGTTGTACATGTATCATGCACCAACATTTAATTGGAAAGACTTTTTAATTCAATAACAAAACCATTACTTTTCAATGAGGGAAAATCATAGCTGAGAAGATAACAGATTACATTTGGTGAAAAACATATAATAGGGTAACAATAAAAATTGTAACTCATACTGAAATATAGCGGTTGCAAAATATATTGCATTTATGCGAAACCTTCACCCCAGAACAGCACCAACTTAATATGCATTTTGCGTTCTGGCAATTGGAGTACAAAGGATAATAGCAGGTGGTTGAAATGTTTCAACACCACAAACACCTGGGAAGGAAGCATCCATAAATTTGAATACATTTAGTTGATAAACGACTCCGCATAGTACGTCATGCAGTCAAGAAAATGGCGATGCCCATGTCTTGCTGAGAAACTGTACTTTATTCTAGCTGTATGCCTTTCTCATACACTTTGGTGGGGAATCTTTGAGACGGCATGGCTACTAGTCTTATTCAACGGTCATCCAATGATACTTTCTATAAAAAGAGAAGAAAAACAGTTTAGTCCTGTTTAGGCAGTAAATACCGAATTATGAACAATTCATATCAGCATTTACAAATCAATTCGTAATTGCATTCACCATTAAACATACAAACCACCAGCATATAAATCAACCTCAATAGTTTGAGGCCTATACAGAAGCGTCCTGTCAAATAAGCCAGTTCACGGTTGCAGTCTGAGCATGAGCAGATAAAGGTCATTGCAGAACAAATTTTGAAATACACGGAGACGTAATACTGGATACGTGCTCATGAAGGGCATGTGATCATTACTCATTCATGCTTATTCAGTGCACTCCATGATACACAGGTGGAAGTATTCTTTGAAAAGGGGAAACAAAGGCTACTTATATATCGCTGTAAGAGTGATTATTTCAAAATGTACAAAGTGGGACGTCTTCATGTTTTGAAGATCTGTGCATATTCGGGGTCATTGCAGTGATGTGTTAACCGTGAACTGGTCTATTCAATACGGTCTCTTTTTACAACACGTTCGCGAAATGGCTATGTATCATTACCATTATAATGACAGAGCTGTGAATAGTCTCCGGCACGCTAATGACACGTTTCAAGGATTTCATGATAATCAGAAAGTGATTGCGAGCGAGATTGCTGGTACTATTTTTACTCTGGCATTTATGAATGTCCATTAATATTCCAATTAGTAGATTTATGTAAGCTGTGAAAGGTGAATAATTTTTGAGGCCCATGCAAAAGGCTGACATTTTGTTTGAGACTGCAAGCGAGTCTGTAAGACTATGAGCGATATTAGATTGATTGTGTAATGATCTGCGGCGATCGGTCATCATTAATATAGGCCCTTTAACCGCACCTGTTAACATTGGTTTCAAGGAAATACATGAAAAGAAAACCCGGACCTCAGTTGTGGTAAACTGAAAATATAAATTAGCATGCAGATATTGTGTGCAAAATAAACATTACATGTAGGAAATCAATACAACGAAGCAATTTCAATTATTGTTTTAAAAAAGTGGCTGAAAGTAACTTGAATTGTGATTCGTTGTAAATTTTCCTTGAATGAGGACAACGTCAATTCATATACGCGGTCAAGTATATTTTCCGCATTGCAAACTGAATGCGATATCATTATTTCAGATCCTATAAAGATTTTTGAGAAATTATTATTGTTAAACGCAAGTCGGTTGTAATGATGACAATTTCGAATGTTTTATCTATAGGCACACCTGTTTTAGACCACTCTCATAATATGAACCGAAAACTGCGAATTCAGCCGCCAACTAAATTAAGTGGAGTCTTGATATTAATTGCGATACAGTGATTTCTTTGCATGATTAAAATGCTATTGAAGTAACCGTAATAATTGTACTTTTATATTTATCTCTGTTTATCTACATCTATATTCCATACCTCTTTCTATGTCGTCACGCTCTGCATTCCTACATGCAGTGATATGGGAAGCAATCAACAAAACTTGTCGTAGATGGCGTAAAAGAGTTTTCCATGAAAACCAACTCGCTTCTATAGTTGAAATGCAAGTAAAAATGTGCATGAAATCGAAAAACACGTTAAGAACACTCAAACTGTTGTGCCGATAATGCATAAGATTCGATGAACAAATCCAAGTAGCTATACCAAGCCCTCCCATATTACCATCTCGAAAATGGACCCTTGAGATAAAAATACAGGATATTTTAACAAAAAAATATAGTAGCCCATACTGTGAAAGGGATACTAGGCCCAATTGAATGGAGAGAATAAAGATTTTACGGAAAAGAAATAATGTACAGCTAAATGAAGAAGAGAAGAATAAAGATTAGTAAGAAAAAAAGAGGAAAAACAACGAACAGCGGAAAGTGATTACCAAAAGAGAGCTTAACAAGAATTGCGGAGGAGGAGGGGGGGGGGGGGAAGCTGTTATAACGAAAAACCGTCAGTTAATGTAGTCTGCCTACTCAAGTTGATGGCAGGGCATATATTTCCTTTCAAAATAAATAAAATGTTTCGATCCAAACGAAATCCAATCGCTAACGCGGTTGGCTTTCAAACACTTCCACTGCTGTCAGTTACACTGAATATAGCGGACAGCATGCATGGCGTCACGGCGTTTACCCCCTCTGCGGTTTCCCCTTCTCGCTTTAGGGAGACTTGAGTGCGAAAAGTATGTAAATGACAGCGAATGGATACGTTAACATCCCTATTCTGGTGCATAGTTAGACTAATGGATATTCCTAGAAATAAGCGGGGTGATATCTTTGCTACCGCTTTGACATTTTAGTCTTCATGTGGCAGAATGTAATCACGGTAATGGAGTAAATCATGCTCTCCGGATTTGTACTGCTTGGGAAAATTGGATGGACCGTATTATTCTCCTTTTTTTTCTCTTCTTCTTCTCCGCCTTTAAACTCCTCCACCTCCTTCTTCTTCTCCTTCTTCTCCTGTGTGTTTCTTTTTTTGTTCTTCTTTTTAATTTGTTTTCTTCTCCTGCTCCTTCCCCTTCTTCCCCATTTTCACTTTTCTTGTTCTTCTTTTGCTCATTTCTTGTATTTGTTCTTGTCCTTGTTCTTCATAATCATTACCGTCTCCTTATCGCCATCGTTGTCTCCTTCTCCGTTTCCTTATATATATATATGTCTCTCTTTCCCCTTCCTCTATTTCCTCAGACGTCCCGTTTGACATTTACAATATGTTCAGAGGGAGCCAGAGAGAGAGAGAGAGAGAGAGAGATAGAGAGAGGGGGAGAGAGAGAGAGAGAGAGAGACAGAGAGACAGAGGGAGAGAGAGAGAAAGAGAGAGAAAGAGAGAAAGAAAGTGAGGGGGGGGGGGGGTTAGGGAAGAAGAGACAATGTGCTTGAATCTTCATGCGAAAAAATAATTAGTATGTGGTAAGACTTTGTTTTTAAACATAATCACCTAGAACCCATTTCTTTTCTGCATGGTATTATAACTCGAAGATCGTAGGACACTGTCTCATATTGAAATGCTTATAAATTTGTTTAAATTTGCGTTAATGCCTATCTGCATTATACTGTTTGGCCAGGAAGGATAAGACCTCCCTGCATGGTCACTGACTGGTGGTTATCTCATCAAGTCAGCTCTCAATTCACATAAGAAGAAGAGGACCATGGGGGGGGGGGGGACCAACGGTCGCCTCTTAGGCATTGTTCGTTCAATAGAGGGCGCAAGTAGCTTTAAGTAGTGCAGTGAGGATTTAACGCAACATTTCTTTTAATGTGAATGTTTTGTCACAGAATGCAAATTGTAATAGCTTCTGTTGTTCATCATTGTTCTCCTCTTACAGCCTCTACCGTGCCTAACAACAACTCCACCTCACTCACTCTCGTTCTCACCGTACCCCAGAAACATCTTTATTCCAAAAAGGCACTCCTGGTGTGGTTCTGGCACCCTTACGAGCCATCGCCGGGCCAGGTCATGAGCTACTTCATCACGTACCAGCAAGAAGGAAGTAACTCCAAGACGGTTATTACGGTGGATACCGCCTTTACGTCAGAAACCCTGAGGAACTTGCAGCCGGACGAGCCCTACAGGGCATTCGTCAAGGCAGTTCTCAACAGCACCGATGTTCCTTATATAGACAGCGCCCTCACGCAGTTTGAAACACCAAAACAAAGTAAAGAATCTAATACTGAATGAATCCGTTTCTGTAATGGGCAGAGAACGAAACGAGGAGGACATTTGGGGAAAACATTTGGCGTAAATTCAATAGCCACAAAGCTTTCAAATAACAACAAGTTTTCTTTTTCTGACTCTATAAGACGGGAAAACCAAAAATGTTACAAAAGTTGCTTGAAAGTTATAGTGGCACGGATTCTTTTTGGAGATGCAGCCAAATGATTGAAATAACTAACTAGTCGGTGGGGAATATTGGTTTGTTTTTGTCCGAGAATCCTTAGATGCTCAGATAATCTTAGAACGTCAACATGGTCAAATTGGAAATATTGGTATACGTAAAGCAGTGCCCAAAGTGCAAAATGAAAAAGAAAACAAAAAGTAGGAGCGGAACTGCTATGGGCTATAAACAAAGGGCGAAAGGGCAATGGCTGAAATAGCATGGCAAAAGTTTCGGTATTTTCGGAGGGGTTTGTGGATATATATCAAGTTCTTTGCTTTCTGCTTCAATTGAAGATGCTTTATTTCAACTAATAAGTATTGTTACAGTAGAATTCATTTCATTGTGTTGTCACCTAATGTTCATAACATTTATCTCTTAATACCATGTATTGTAGTTTTGTCACGCCCATTTCGTCTCAATCTTCCGTCTTTCCTCTACATCTGTCCATAATTATATTTCTTCTGTTTAATGTATGGAATTAATCTTCTTTTCCGATGAAGTTCTATACTTTGATTATGTACAATCCTTTTACATCAGAATCTATCTTAGTTTAACACATTCCTTATAACAATTTCAATAAACTTTCCCCAAATATTAGTAGACCTGGGGGGGGGGGCGATGTTTCACAAAGATCCTTAGTCGAACTTATCTCTAAGTTGGACTTAACAATTATGGAAAGCCGTTAGCATCTTTGAAAATATTTGGTAAGAGTTATTTTAAAAGGCACAAAATGTTGATTCAAATCATTCTTATTTTCTATTATCAAGGAGATTTCATGTTCTTGATGTCGAATTTATAACAATTCTAAAATACACTGTCGCTCACATAGGTGGAATATTTTTGTTTTACCCCAATTTATGGAGTTATTTAAAAAATAATAGATCTAGATAAAAGTATACATTCTCAGATTTTATTGAATAATAAGTTGCAAATGTGTGTTTTGCGTAACTGCTAAAGCATGTGTATGCTACCATGCTTATCAAATAGGGGACCTACGCCCTTAAGTCATAAATGACAGTAATGAGGATTAATGCCCCCACAAAAGGGCACTAATATAGCACATCGACACGGTTTTGATCCTGGGGCCTCACAGTTACGAGGCCATTGCTTTGTCACTGAACCATAACTGTACGCAGCGGGGGCTAGGAGAGGGGGCAGTTTTCATACATTTAAAAAAAAACAGAAAATGCAATAAATTTGCAATAATTTATTGCATTTTACCCCGGTCCCCAACATAAACTAATCCTCTGGTTGGCCATGCATTATGGCTCAAGGCATGGGCACAGAGAGGATTTTTATGTTGGGAACCGGGGTAAAATGCAATAAATTATTGAAAAATTATTGCATTTTCTGTTTTGTTTTTTAATTTATGGAAACTGCCCCCTACCCTAGCCCCCGCTGCGTACAGTCATGGTTCAGTGACAAAGCAATGGCCATGTAACTGTGAGGCCCCATGATCAAAACCATGTCGATGTGCTATGTTAGGGCCCTTTTGTGGGGCATTAATCCTCATTACTGTCATTTATGACTTAAGGGCGTAGGTCCCCTTTTTGATAAGCATAGAAGCATACACATGCTTTAGCAGTCACGTAAAACCCACATTTGCAACTTATCATTCAATAAATCTGAGAATGTATAATTTTATCTAGATCTATTATTTTTAAATTATTTTTAAAATAATTCCATAAATTGGGGTAAAACAAAAATATTCCACCTATATGAGCGACAGTGTACTTGAATTTTCACTTTTGAATATATATATTTTTAAGGCTACAAATGGCTCTTCATAAATTTTAAGTCCAACTTAGGGTTAAGTTCGACTTAGGATCTTTGTGAAACACCCCCTAGTTTATAGGTACACAATATTTGATGATTATGCTTGGTATTTAGTCAAAAACCGAACGGTTAAGATTTAAAGGGACAATGGGAAAATTACGACCACCCTTTCAACACAAACGATTGTGACGGTTATTAACTCTTAACAGAAGCCGTCGTATTGAAACGGTTTGATGAATTGAACATCCAAAATATAGACTCATCATCGTTAAGTAATTTCGTAATAACTAACATTTTCATTTTCAGGGTTTGAACGCAGTAGTATGGGGGTCACGGAATTTGTCATCCTGTTTTTAATCTTCGCACTTTGGGGATTGGCCATGCTAAGATTCTTTGGCACGTGGAACAAGAAAATGAATTTGAGAGTGACCAAAGACTCGATAAGGACTCGAGACTCATCGCCGACTCATCGCCACTTGGAAGCGTATAGGATGTACAAGAAGCGTCGCGCAGCGGCTCAACAGGCAAAACCGCCGAGGGAAAGGTCACAGGAAGAAGCGGGCGGTAGCGGCGGCGGCGGCTTCGGTAGGAGTTGGCAGCGGTCATCCACCATGAAGAGTTTTAGGGCTCGTGCGTCAAACTTCAAAAGGACTAGATTCGGATCGTCAAAATCCTCAGCGCCGCCGTCCCCGCTACCGACCGCACCTGAACGTGAACCGTTGCGGTCAGGAGAACTTTTAGCAACGCCCCACCCTAGTATGCAGCTGCAGACACTGCATCATGAACATGAACATCATCATCATCAACAACAACATCAACAACCGCAAGACCAACCGCATAATTTAACTCCACCGCGGTCTCAACCGCACTTGACCGCCGCGGTTGTAATTGGTGTGCCTGTCCATGTGTCTTACGAAGCGGCCGGTGGTAGAGGTGGTGGGTCCCCTACGGCAACGGTCCGGTTGAGTCCTGACCACGAGCCGCATTCTGTCATATGACAACATGTGGGTACTCTACGTTGTTATGTATCTTGCCTCGATGCTTGGTTTTCTTCTTTATTGGTGTTTGTTGCATGCTGCCTATCTTCGTCTCGGTGTTTTGTGTCTGCTTTTGTGAGCAAGAACTATAGTTAGTGTGGTTTATGCTATTTTCGGTTACCCATTTCTGGCACATGTTTGTAGAGTTTTTTGTGAATTATATTCTGTGTTACAATGCATAATAATATTTAAGTCACTTTTTCATTAAGGCGTTTTAGATATCAGAATCTCACTTTGTTTCAATATAATTTATGTTTAACATTTTTTCCCCATCCAGAATATGAATGGTACAGGCTGATTGGAGGCTGGAGAAAGGGAGAGACAGAGAGAGAGAGGGAGAAAGATAGAGAGAAAGAGAGAAAGAGAGAGAGAGAGAGAGAGAGAGTGATAGAGAGAGTGAGAGAGAGAGAGAGAGAGAGAGAGAGAGAGATAAGGTGGGGGCGGGGGCTATGCAGGGAATAAAACATAGCGCCTTTGTCATTAAAAAAAATCATGTTAATTTGTATAAAAATGTGTATACACTATAAACATGACGAACAAAGAAAGCGGACAAATATACAGTTCCTCAGGTAGATAAAGGAACATCTCTTCACTGCTATTATGTAAAAAGGTGAATATGCTTGTGACACCTGTTCTACACATTTTGACATAATAGCAGTGAAGGGATGTTCCTTTGTCTACCTGAGGAACTGTATATTTTGTCCGCTTTCTTTGTCAGTCATTTTCATAGTGATATTTGTATAACCTTATTTATTATCTCAGGTACTTTGTTACCTAGTTCACAGAATGCATTTGTTTTGTAAAATATTGCTTTCCTTAACAAAGTACCAGTATTCATGCTACCCTTTGGTTGCAGATTGCTTGCTTGTTACTGTGGTGTGCTATGGCAAAGGCTTTTCTGTGTCAATCGTTTTCCAAATACCGTGCAGGTCTAACTACTTTTCATTTTTGCATCGTAAACAAATTACCAGTTGCTGTTGTATATCTATCGTCTTTGCCAATGTTGATTTTGCTCGTGCTCGGCTTCTTTTTTGCCCGCAATGCTTCAATTTCGTACGATCATTGTGCTTTGTGAATAAAAATGGTAATTTATCCCTTTTGCACTCCCCTGTTGGTGTAATTATTATACAGCCGTCAACGATAGGTGGTGAAATTGACTTTGCTCTGAATCTCAATAAACAACACTGTCACGCCTGTGCTGTCTGATCAGTATAGGGGGCGCTAATTCAGTTTATATTTACAAAGAGTTAGTAAGTGCTGCACTATAAACGCACATGATGTATATGTTGTATGTACATGTATAATTATATAGTTTGTCGTTATGCACTTTTTTTTTTACTTCGATTTTTTTTCTACAATGGAATATAGTTGGCATATTGAATTTCATTACTATCTCCATGGCGGCCTTTCTTCTTTCCCTTTTTTCTCCTTATTAATTTGTACTCGAAGCAAACTTAGAGATTTTCTTCTATGCATGCTGCAGTTCATAGTATCTCTCTTTTTGAGTTAAAAAAAACACGATCACATCCCTTCCCAAAGTTTATTCGATGTTTCTATTTTACCCCAAAACCTTTTTTATTTGATATGTACATTTATGGTTGTTCGCACTAACATTCTTTTGACATTGTTTTATGTGCATGTTTGGTACTTAGATTTAGAGATTATATGATGAATGATTAACACAGATTTAGAATATCTCATTTCTTCTTATCAGACTATCATTATAATGTTTCAACCGCTACTATTCTGAAGATGATTTCCATCAAAGTGTTTAATCAAAAGAAAAAGGAAATTCGTACATTGGAATTACTCATCTACTTAATATTTCTCAGATTTCACCCTGTTAATTTGATTCAGTTTCATAGACAAGGGCCCACCCTCTGTGGAATGCTTAAAACAATTTACAATAATTGTTTACAAGGACTTTGTTTCAAATGAATGTATTAAATACCCAGTTATATCCTGTGTTTTATTCAATAATATCAAAAGTTTAGTAAAAGCAGAGTCCTTTAATATGAAATAAGTTGGATAGGGGGCGGCATCGAGTACTGCTGCAGTTCGGTCTTTCTTTTCTCATCAAATAAACCGTTCCCCCCTTATTTTTTAATGTTGGTAGTCATCCTAGTTATGACTGCGTACTCTGAGAAAGAATCTGATTGTAGACAATTATGTTCAGTATTGCAGTTGAATTAATCTCTATTAAATTATTTTTATTCTCGATTTGAATGTTTCTAGTTGTGACCCCGCCTTACGAGGGAAAGCCCGGTCTCATGAAGGGGCTCATTACCATGGCAATGATGCTCTGTTTCTGGGTCTTCGTCGTCCTCCTCTTCTTGCGCCAGTGGCGAATAATCCGCCAGCTGGAGCCGACACCGACCACGCGGAGGTTCCACCTCGTTCACGACGAAGGTGATGGAGTCGACAGCGGTGGCGTCGCCGTCTACAAGCCGTACGAACCGCAAAACATCGACACCATACGCGTGGTCAAGAATGCCAGGGATAGCGTCCTCAGCGGGGATAGTCCGAAGCGGATGTCGTTGAAGCGCTCGTCGTTGAAGCCGGCGTGGGCCGACATCAAAGAAGACGACGAGGAGGTTGAGTCCGATGATGATGACGTCAGGTTGTCGACGCGGAGTTGATTGATTTATAGTGGGCTTCTATATACACTCGACTGCGATGTGTAAATGGAGTCCACGAAACTTGCCTTGTATGATTATTTTCTACCGAGAGTCTGATACTGTAATGCCTGTCTGAATTTCCACCAATATACAGTTACAGTTCCAAAACATTTTCCAAATTTATGCACCGTCTCTATATACTACATTGGTTATCAGTGACGACCCTAAAGATACCAAGAGGCTCGCCCGACATAGAAACAAATGATGTACTTTTCCGGCATTCGTAATTTTGACATGTTGTAGTTTGTTACAGGGGGATGCAATGGTTGGTAACTAGGGTCTTTGGGGGGGGGGGGGGGAATATCTTATTTTGTGAACTGTTATATTTTATCAAAAGAAAGGGCTATTGCTACAGGGGTCCTGACTTGATGTGGCATGGATGGAGGGTTTAGAATGGCACTTTTACGAAAGTAAGCACCAGTAGTTAGTAAATACAATCTGCCCATGAGCGGATAAACGTCATTGTTAACAATTGTACCCCTTAGACATGGATACATGTTCATAAAAGTTATGCTATCAGTATTCTTTTAATCACCACAGGGTACATTGTCACACACAAGTGAAATTATCTCTGAAGAGGGGGGGGGGGGGACAAACAGGTTGGTTGATAGTGTTCAATACTTAATGGAAACTGTGTTCCAATGAACCTACGAGTCATCACCATTCATCCGGAATCATGAACTACTTCTGAATATATCATAAGTTAAAGGTGTCCATGCATGGATATATAGTCGTTCGTAAAGTAGGCAACTTGGCGATCACTACATAACACGGAGCCAACGGGTATTACGCTCCCGCGCGTAAAAACGTTGTGCTGCCCTCTGTAACCTCACGCACGAGCGACTTTAAAGTACTTCGTTTTGGCTCGGGTTGGCGGTGTTTAAAGTTTAGGCTTATAGTTTATTCAAGTACTTTTTGATTGGTAGGAAAGATATTCTGTTGCTGGTGCTGGGTAAATACAGTGTGTCCCAAAAAAGTTAACAGTTGGAAAAAAAATACGTGTCTTTAAATAGATACATAAAGGCCTATGTCAAAATATTCGGAGGGCAAGTGGGTAGGTAAGAGCTTTCGCTATGAATTGAGATCAACCAATTTTATATAATGTTATGCTTGAGTGAGCAAAAACCACTGATGTGAAAGAGTGGTAAATATTAACTTTATAAGAATTGATATTTGTTGTTTGATATGCATCCTGAAAATATTATGAAATATTTATTTGCGGACATTTTTTCCAATTGTAAACTTTTTAGGGGTGGGGATCACTGTTTTTATCCTTTTAATTGTGAATGGAAAAGGGTTGAGCAAGAGGCCCTCATTTGACCCTGAGATCGGTTTTAAATTCAAAAATGGAAACTCTTGCTTAGTTTTACTTCAATCTAGACGGGAAGGTACTGGGGTATTCTAGCAGACCGACAGTCCACGAGGTCGACAGTCTGCGAGACCGACAGCTCACGGCATAGACCCGGGAAAAATTACAGTCAGAAGGATCACGAGGCTAACATGTCGGTCTCATCGGCTACCGGTCCCCTGAATCCTCAGAATACTTCTTCAGGAGACTAATGAGACCTGAAATTTGTGGTCCAGGGGGGTGTTTCACAAAGCCTTTGTTCAATGACAAATTACAAATATCAGTGACATATCTGCTGATAACCAATCAGAAGCATGGATTACAGTAGCTTATAACAAAAAGTGTCATTTGTCACTGATGACAAGTTTTGTGAAACGCCCCCTGATGGTTGTCGGCATCGTTGGTTTTCGGTCTCGTGAGCCCTCTGAGAATTTTTCAGAAGACCTGTTAGACCAACATGGTCGGTCTCCTAGGCTGTTGGCCTTTCGGTCTATACGCACAAGAGATGAAGAAAACACACGGAAGAAACTGCCTTTTTGGCGCTCAAGGACTGAGATGATCCGTTTTCCAGAAATTAAAGAGGACGCTAACGGAACGACTTCCGTCTTTTATTGTTTTATTGATTGGTGATTCACCTTGTTTATGTATATATAGAGAAAGAAAAAATACTTTACATTCTTTGATACTTATATTGCTAATTTTTCTATTTCAAGTTTTGATAAAATAGTTGATTTACTCTTTTTGAACGCATACATTTATATTTTTGTTAAACTTTTATCAAAAGATTTTTGACGCATAAATTATGTACAGAAATTCTGTTTTTGATCATTTGGTTAGGAATGCATCCCTCGCGTTGCGAAACTTCCAGGATTGTGCGAAAATATTTAGAAACTGTTTATTTGTTGACATTTAAGAATTATGTAAATTTCTAGCACAACTGACTATTAGACGCATATAAGGCCTATATTAAGTTCATTTTGTCGCAATAGTAATACATGTAGTAATAATGATAGTAGTATTAATGATTATAATCTGGATTTATAAAGCGCTTAATACGATAAACCGTCTCTAAGCACTTCACGTATTATTATTACCCCGGTCATTTGATTCATTCACGCACACAGTGTGCACCATCTCCACTCCCTGGAGAGTATTCTAGTCACAGTGAGGGAAAAGGGTAATTAATAACGTAAATGCTTTTTTCATCCTACCTGTTCCCCATTCCTCTTGGGTATGGATTGGCAAATGTAGATTAATGCGAAAGCGCCCTGTTACTGCCGTGTCGGGGATCGAATCCACGACTTTTGCATTTCAAGTCAAGTGCTTAAACCACTCGACTACGTCACCTCTAATGACATCCATATTGCCAGAGCGGTGCAATTATAACTCAGTAATTGAAGTTAGAGAGGATTGGAATAATTTGAATAATTTCCTCATTAGCGAGAGATAATGAAGAAATTATTCCAATGAATAATAAAGCTGTAATTACTCAGTGGAAGATTCGAGTAAGATATTTATCTTATCTTCGTAGAATATACGATTTTCTTGAGTAAATATAGAAACTTTATTTAAATACAGCAGCGAGAAGATTGCTTGTCTAGACATTTTTCTGGAGATTATTTAAATGTACTTCCACAGCTTTACTGAACCTAGTTAATATTGCCGGGGAATATATTTTTCCATTCCTCTTCCTTTTTTACATTCCCTTCAAATCGTCTTTTCTCTTTATGTGAGAAACAATCTTCGATGTACAACGGAGGATGCGTAGACATTGACTGTTTTGGATGCACTCATTTAGAATATTTGAATTGTACTTTGTTTTGTTTATTAATATCCAATTGCAGACTGAAACATCACAATTGAGCAAGAATGTGGCCATATCTTAGGGGTCCATAAAAACTTCTGCAGCGCGACTTTATTTGTCTAGAAAAATTAAGAAAAATAACACATTTGAAAACACATCACTATTAATATGCAAGTACATGCAGCTTAAGTACCCGTAACAAGATATATCTACAATGAACGATGTACAAACTGTAATGCTAATCGTCTTTAAATATAGATCCATAGGATTTTCGTGCATTACATTTTGAATAAGACCTAGTGTTAAACAATACCGAAAAGAATAATGCTATGATGAAGTGCCTATGCATCAATTTCTTAAATTGTATATTTAATTATTTATTCTTATGATGATTAACATTCGAGATGTATATAGCTCATAATAACCTGCGGTATTGATTATTGCAATATTGGTAAATGGACGGTGTAAATTGTTCTGTGTATTTGTGTGTAAGTTAAACACAATTCCATTGTGTGAATACAATATTTTCGTCAACAACACATGACCTTTTTCGACGTGCACTTCACATTTACTGAGCGGTTGAATAGGGGAAAGGGAGGCAATAGTGATTCGGAAGATTAGGTTGAGTTTTCTTTCCGTTTTTCGGCATTTTTTTCTGAAAGGAGGAAAAAATCATGATCTGTTATCAGAATAATATTAATCATTATAATAAATGATAATTATGATATTGATGATGACGACTATAGATTAAATCTACTGTATTTTTGTGTAAAGGAAAAAAAACGCAATTTTGGCATCTCATAAATATTTGAAAACATGAGTAGATATAGACCGACTTTATGATGACATCAAACCTGATCAATATGCTCAAATGAAAGAATGATTTTACGATTGAATGAAGAGAAACGAGTCATAAAAAGGTGAAATAACAAAAATAATGTACTGTATACCTATCAAACATAAATTTTACCTTTAATATATTTGACGTTGGTGTGTGACGGAGTTTTGACAACCAAATACCATGTTGCAATATTATTCCCCAATTTGCAGTCGTGGTGTGATAATTATAGCAATAGATCATGTTTTTATCTAAACCGATTTCCACCAAAGCGTAAGTAACAATTTGCAGGCAAATTGTGCCCAGGCTCATTAGTGCTGTCCTTCGAAACATTTTTACAGGTGTTTTAGCATAAGGTTTTAGCATAAGTTTTTAGCGTATCCATGATATGATTATGTTAAGAATGTTGTAAATAATAAATTTTACGCAAAATTCATGTCATTTAGATCCTGTTTCACATGTGTTTTTTAAGGTGTACTACCAACCCCTTCATTCTAAAAGGATTGAAAAATATTGAAAAGTGTTGATATCTTTCTGTTTGTTTTGGGGTATAATTATGTCAAGCTACATTAACTCAGACTGATCTCCTAAAAAGAAAGGATTTAGAGGTTTACTTTCTTGATATAATATTTTACCAGGATAACATGAGAGCACAAATAGAAAGTCAAACGGTTAAGAACTCTTTGTTGAATTAAGTGTCAAACCCTCAAGAATGGCTGACTTTTTTTAGGTAGAAAAATCAGCAAGTAAAAACATGGTGTTTCTGTGAATATCATTTTGCTTTAAAGCCCCTCTGTACTAGTTTGGTATGGATAATTATACCTCCCTGCGAGGTCACTGACAGGTGGTTATCTCATCAAATCAGCTCTAAATTAACATAAGAAAAGGGGCAACATGGGGATCAACGGGTACCGCTTAGGAATTGTTGGCTGTATAGAGGGCGCAAGTAGCTATAAGTAATGCAGTGGGGCTTTAAGTAACAAAATGAAATAAACAGGAGAGGTTCTGAGATATTTTATAATGGATTAGATCCTGTTGCGGTCGGTACCTTATAATATACATCATACAATTGCTGCCTTGTGCAACCAGATGAAATGCTTGGTGTACACTAATTTATTTTATTTTCAATTTAAAAGACTTTTATGGAAATGAATTTTCTAATTATTGTTTATGTATTTTGTAGAATTTCGTATACATCAAGATTCTTTGGTTGTGTAAGTTGTAATAGATGTTAATGTCATGAGGTTGTTCTGCAATTTTTTTTCTTGCAGACAATTCGGTACCCAATGCCATAGTAACGGTTATTGTTAAGACCCCGAAGTAGTTGGGGGATGTTAGGGTTATTTAGGGGCAGTTCCAGGGGGCGCCCTTCTTGGCGCCCGTGAACAAATCAAAATAAAGTCAAACCAGTCTATAGCGACCGCCCAAGAGAAACACAAAAAGTGGTCTTTGTAGACAAATTCCTTTAGTGCATTTTTCAATGAGAAACAATTTTCAAAGGAAACAAAACATATGGTCTTTGTAGACAGGTGGTCACTAAATCAGGTTTGACTGTAGTATGGTATATGGTCGATATCTGGGCCAAATGTGGTGCTTTTAGAACAATCTGAACCAAAATATCCCTTACATCCCCCACTATAAGTTGTAACATCTTGTTTTAAGACTGTCTTGTGCAGAGTAAACCGTGACGCGTATACAATATATTCCTTTGGAGATGCTTTGTTTGAAAATATACAGTATAAGTCTTCAGAACTTTTTTTCTGGAACTACGATTTGTCAATAACTTCTCATTCTGTAAATAATTGATTTATAAATCTAGTTTGTCATAAATAAACACTTTGAAGAAAAAAAGACGAACGTTTCTCGTGTCCATTTATGTTCGTTTTGAAGAATATACAACTTAAAGATAGGATAATTCTTTAAAAGAGTTTTAAGAGATAAAGGGAATCTTTATGATATTGTTATACTAAAGATGACAGAGTAAGAGGGAGAGAGAGAGATAGAGAGAGAGAGATAGATAGAGAGAGAGAGAGATAGATAGAGAGAGAGAGAGAGAGAGTCTGAGTGAGGAAAAGAGGGACAAAGAGAGAGAGAGAGGGAGTGAGGGAAAGAGGAAGAGAGAAGGAGAGAAAAAGAGAGAAAGGGGAGGGGTGGACAGGGAGAGAGGGAAAATAGAGAGAGAGGGGAAAGGGGGGGGGGGGGGGGTAGAGGGTAGATAGAAAGTGATGAAAGACGCTGACAAAACTGAATAATAATGAGATACTGAAACAGCTTTGAAAGTACATTCTATCTATGCTCGCATAATGCTCCCACAAAAGCAACAGGATGGACCAACCAAGATTCGATTCGATTCTATGTCAAATAAACTTATGGTCTTGATTTGTCGAAAAGATGCAAATATAATATCAATTTCATACATTATTATGAAACTGCTGAGTAGAAAGAAAACAAAAGAAAAGGATCCAGACAATTTTTGCGCACAATGTAACACTTCATTTCCGTATATACGAGCTGCAGTTTCATCAAACAAAATTGTCACATAGATTCTTGTTAACCAACAACAACAAAACAAAATTAGAAACTGTCCCTTATCAACCCATGAGTGTCAATGTGCTACAACGGAAAGCTAGGTTCAGATTTGACGAAATGACAATGGAGAAGGAAGGACATCATTTATCCCAACTTTCTAATCGAATCCGGTATGTATACCGCATCCCTGTATTAATGTGCTTCAACACGTGATTACGTGTCAAAGAGGAGATTGACTTTTGGTTATAGGATGCAAAAATAATGTGTGCACTTCCTCATTCTCAGTTTTCTTATGTATAACTGATTTTCTTATAAAAGATATGGCGTATATATTCAATAATGAATGAACGCCAGTAAACTATTACCAACAACAACAACAACAACATTTTATTCATTGAATTACGAAAAAGATTATTGCTGTAGTATTGCCCCAAAGCTCTAATATTCAAATCATAACTAACAGGGGCGGATCAAGGATTTTTCCAAAAGGGGCGGGGGCGTGAAGTTTACGAAATTGCGAGCGCAACGAGGGGAAAAGGAGGGGGGGGGGGGGGGGGGGGCTTTTGTCCCCACGTCCCCCTGGATCCGCCCCTGACTAATGGGCGATTTAGACCAACTTGAAATACTCTCATACTCATTTGTGCATTGCCTTTACTTTGTTAAGTTAGCAAGACTGAATTATCACGAGAAAAAAAATGAAGAGGAAAAAAACCGAACAATACAGTTATTCTTATTTACATCAATCTTTCCCCAACTTATTTCTAAACCTGTTTCACAAAGCCTCTTTTTAATGAAAAATGACAAAACAAAACAATCAGTGACAAAATAATCTGCTGATAACCAATCAGAAGCAAGGAGTTTACTAGCTTATAACCAAAAAATGTAATTTCAATGGCAAAAAATAAATACAAAATCAGTGACAAATCTGCTAATAACCAATCAAAAGCAAGGATTTCACTAGCTTATAACAAAAACTGTAATATGTCACTGATGACAAGTTTTGTGAAACAAACCCCCCCCCCCCCCAGTAATCGAATTTACCTTTGAAATTGTTTCACACTTATGTAGCGGCGGTATTATGCTGCTTAAAAACGAAGGTTATACGGTTTACAAGTTATATAGATTTCCTGAAAAATAAATATTCGCTCAATGTCAAGGTAAACTGTTTGGCCTCCCCACCCATCCCCAAAATGACAAATGTCAAGAATTCCAAACAATGATCACAAAAAATAAATATGGAGGGCCATGAATCGAATGAAGAAAGATAAAGGCCGCAAAGGTCGAACATCTTTTCGCTCTGACACGTTGAATCACACATCATCGATAACGCGAAGCCATAAGCATAGCTGTGCCAACCCACTTTAACCCAATTTTGAGAAAACATCTTACAAGTTTAAACACTATAGGGAAATCTGTGGATTTCCGATAAAAGGAAACTATCGATGGTTTTCAAGCAGTATGTACTGTGTGTTAAACTATATTACTATATTACTATATTACTATATTACTATATTACTATATTACTATATTACTATATTACTATATTACTATATTACTATATTACTATATTACTATATTACTATATTACTATATATTACTATATTACTATATTACTATATTACTATATTACTATATTACTATATTACTATATATTACTATATTACTATATTACTATATATTACTATATTACTATATTACTATATTACTATCTTACTATATTACTATATTACTATATTACTATATTACTATATTACTATATTACTATATTACTATATATTACTATATTACTATATTACTATATTACTATATTACTATATTACTATATTACTATATTACTATATTACTATATATTACTATATTACTATATTACTATATTACGTATTACGTATTACGTATTACGTATTACGTATTACGTATTTCTGAGGGATGTACCATTTTCTTTACATTTTGATATGTTATGTAAGACGCACAGGCCCTTATACTATAATCGCATCACATTTTTTTTGACAAACAGAACTGTCAGTAATTAGTCGGCTAAATTTGCCTGTGTTAAAGCTATTAAATTCGAGAGACAGTTGGTGCTAGTAAATATTTCGGTCACACCTCCAACAAACTCCCAAACCGACCTATTAATGGCCTCTGTAAATTTGCGTACGGTCTGTAGTCGGTCTGGTGACGGTCTCGTTCGTCTGACCTGGGACCCGTTTCACAAAGCCTTTTTACAATGACAAATGACAAATATCAGTGACAAATCTGCTGATAACCAATCAGAAGCGAGGATTTCCGTAGCTTATAACAACATCTGACATTTGTCACTGATGACAAGTTGTGTGAAACACCCCCCCCCCCCCCGATTCCAGAGAGGGTGCGAGAGATGGTCCATACAACTTCTTTTTTTGGCGCTTTTTCCCTTCTTGCTTTGATAATAACAATAGATCACGTTGTCAATGCACTATACTGCCATATATCACTTATTTCCAATATCTTTTCAATGTAGACAAACTTTAGTAGTTCTCCTTATGATACCGTTGAATGGTTTGCGGATATTGTTTGCACAATGGAATGAAACCTGGTTTTAAAGTTTGTTTTAGTGAATGTACGGATAATGTTTGCAATTACTAAGGGGTCAGTTACATTGGCCAATAACAATGGTTATGTATTCTGATAGCTCACATTGTCAAAACAATATTACCCATACAAAACAATAATGATAATGTTAAACAAAACAAAATCCATGTCCACTGGTGACGGTACCATTATATTCCTCCGATGTCGCCTTCTCTCTCCCTCTCTCTCTCTCTCTCCCTCTCTCTCCCCCTCTCTATCGATAGTTAGCATGCATTCCCTGTAATGTAAATGGTATTAGAAGACGCACAGGCCCAAATATTATAGTCGCATCTCATATTTGACGAACACGTCGACGTCAATTAGCCGACTAAGGGCGCGTTCATGCTTGATTTTGAAGGCAGAATGAGCGATTTGTAACGCTCATCGTAAACGCTCATCGTAATCGCAGTTCCACGGTGCACTGTTCATGCTCACTTCTCCAGGCAATTCTCCTTGGGTGGCCTTCAGCTGGATTCGCAAACCTGTGTGCGCATGCTACGTAGACCCACTAGAGGTCAGTGCGTTGACCCCATTTAAACGCGTTTACAAATTGTAAACGCATCTTTTTGTGAGTTTACGATCGGCGATCGTGATCGCCGTTTTTCGGTGATTCTACAAAAGTGAGCATGAACGCAAGCGTGTTTTAAACTAAACGCGTAACAGATGCCTGATTCTGGCCGTCAAAATCAAGCATGAACGCGCCCTTAATTTGCCTATGGTAAAGGTATTGAATTTGAGAGAAAAAATTGGTGCTATAGTACTACCTAAAGTAGGCATAGTAATGATAAAGCTAAATAAAAAAAAAAATCCATGTCCAATTACTATTACGGTACCGTATGTTCCTCCGATGTCTCCTCCCCCCCCCTCTTTCTCTCTCTCTCGCTCTCTCTCTCTCTCTCTCTCACACACTGATACCCACTCCCCCCCCCCATCCCCCCGAATCCCCTCGGTTCTTTCCACTGGTCTTTCGACTATTATGTCAGGTCGAGAAGCGTGCTTGTCTCCCCAAATAAAATGTCTGAATGTGTAGACTAGGCCATTGCCAACGTCAAAACTCGGATCAATACATTGCAACGCTTTCTGCTTTCGACCAGACTAGACCAACTCAGCGCGGCGACTATTGTATTGTACGTCAAAATGTGCCTTCGCTCTACCGATCGGCGCACTATCGGGTGCGCTCGTTCTATCGTCGTTTTTCGCAAATCGGCCAGCTGATCGCCTGTTGTTATTACCTTTCTGCAATTTTATCCGTGCTATTGATACTGCTACCGTTTTCATGCAGTGTCAACAATAACCAACTCGCCAACAAAACAGACTTTAGTCGAGACGTGGAACAGTATACATGCTCTCATTTCTGGTGGTGTGCCATTAATGCTTGAGCGTAATTCGGGATAAGATTGTGGAAGCATATCTCTTATTGTTAAGAGACGCCGCCAATTCTTAATAGATGCACAGCCATATTTACAGTGAGACGAGCGGAGAGTGTGTTTTACTAGCATCGCCGTAGGATAGATGAATATCACACTACGCACGTCCAGTCGGTAAGTTATGAATACCTTTTTAATATTTATATTCAGTGATCTTTGACTATTAGTTTATTGTACATAGGCTGTACATGTTGGATACATTTTGCAAAACATTATCAAAATGTTGTTAATGACTTCTTTGAAAGGACACTGCTGTGCAAAAACTTTACAACACGTTAAGCAGGCATTAT